GTCATTGTTGTTTCACGGGCTTGGGCTGGATTCGAACTCGCCACCTTAGATGTATATGGCTGGCGCCTTAGTCACTTGAACCACAGGCGCTGAGCCTCAAGTGATCTTCTTATCTCAGCCTCCTGAGTAGCTGGGACTATGGGCACCCACCACAATGCCCAGCTAGTTGTTTGTTTTTTCCTATTTTTAGTAGCTACGTGGTCTAGCTCAGGGATCCTCAAACTTTTTAAACAGGGGGCCAGTTCACTGTCCCTCAGACCACTGGAGGGCCAGACTGCGGGCCCCAGGACAGGTCAGCTGCTAAGCAGGACAGGCAGCGGCGGCAAAAACATCCAGCGGGCTGGATAAATGTCCTAGGTGGGCTGTATGTGGCCCACGGGCCGTATTTTGAGGATGCCTGGTCTAGCTCTTGCTCAGGTTAGTCTCAAACTCCTGAGCTCAAGCAACCCGCCCACCATGGCCTCCCAGAGTGCTAGGATTACACGTGTGAACAACTATGCTCGACAAGTTCTTTAGCAGAGTATTTTGCATCGCAATGTGCTCTAGACAGTGGTTCTCAACCTGTGGGTCGTGACCAACAGGAACTGTATTAAAGGGCCATGGCATTAGGAAGTTTGAGAACCACTGTCTTGAGGAATGATTACTAACACAGGGAGGGAAGGAGGGAGGAAGGAAGGCAGGGAGGGAGGAAAATAGAGAAGGGATCAGGATAGGTGGATGGGATCAAGAAAGGCTTCAAGGCGAGGTAGGGCCTGAGCTTTGCAGGTGGGATTTTATTATTATTTATTATTATTATTTTGGAGACAAAGTCTCATTATGTGGCTCTCGGTAGAGTGCTGTAGCATCACAGCTCACAGCAACCTCAAATTCTTGGGCTTAAGTGATTCTCTTGCCTACGCCTCCCAAGTAGCTGGGACTACAGGCACCCAGCACAACGCCCGGCTATTTTTTTATTGTAGTTGTCATTGTTGTTTAGCTGGCCCAGGCTTGGTTCAAACCCTCCAGCCTCAGTGTATGTGGCTGATGCTGTAACCACTGTGCTACAGGCGCCGAGCCTGGTGGGATTTTAATTAGTAGAGAATATTTCAGACAGAGTCAACAGTGTGTGTAACTCGGAGAGAAGCTTGTGTAGAGATTGAGTGGACTAGAATGGAGAATGGATGTTAGAAGTATTGGAAAATATGGCTGAGTAGATATTATGGGGTCAGTCCGTAAGTTCCTGAAGAGCAGCATCTAACTAGATCTTGTGCAAAAGATTTAATTAAGCTCAAAAGCAAGATAAGGAGTTTGTCCCTAGTCCTATAAGTAATGGTGACAATATTTCCAGAAGCATTTAGCCCAGGGCAATGACTTTCTAAAGCCCAAGCCAAACGAAGAGGTAGTTATGTGTTTTAAGTTGTGGATGGACACCAATGGAAGGTGGTAAAATCACTAGGAGGCACTACTGTCCGAATGCATAACTGTTTCAAGGGATGCCCACATTTTAGAATGACCTTGTAAGCAAAGGAATGAATCTCCCTAATTGGGGACATGCCAAACAGGGGAGGACACTTCTTAACCTCAGTGGTTACAATTGGAGTCCTGGTTGTTCAACCTTTTGAGGGTATTAGAGACCCAGTTCTCTTCCTAGAAGCAGGTGCCATTCTCAGTTGCTCACCAACTCCCTACCCCAGACCTAGACTCTGATCACCACAGTAGGTCCACACTCCCTCAATAATGCCCTAGCAAAACTATATATACTTTTAGTAAATGCAAACCCACTTTCCTCACTACTTTTTATTAAAACTCCAGCCATTTGTCTTCATTTCTGATTTCTCTGGAGAGGTGAGTTGCTTCGAAAACACCTTTAGACTTGGTGACACATAAACACAGAAATGCATTAGCGGTGGGATCAACAAAATAGCCTACAAGCCACATCTGGCCTCACTGTCTGTACTCGTCTGATCCTTGCCCTAAGAATGGTTTTTACATTTGTTAGTGGTTGAAAAAAATCAAAAGAATAACTTGAGATATGTGAAAAATATATGAAACTCACATCTCGTGTCCAGAAGTAATTGAAGCACAGCCACACTCATGCTTTTATGTATCAGCTCTGGCTTTCATGTTATAGTAACAGCTGAATAGTTACAGAGATTATGTGGCTTACTAAGTCTAAAATATTTACCAGCTGACCCTTCAGAGAAAGTTTACTGGCCCCTGGTCTAAAGCAGTGGTTCTCCACATGGGGCGATTTTGACATTGTCTGGAAACTTTCGGTTATCCCAACTGTGGGAAGTGGGGAAGGCACGCTACTGACATCTAGTGGGTAGATGCCTGGGATGCTGCTAAACATCTTGTTATCACAGGACAGTCCCCCACCCCCAACAAATAGTTATCTGGCCCCAAATGTTCACAGTGCTGAGGTTGAAAAACCCTGCATCAGAGAGATCCCGTTTACTGAACACCCACCTCTTTAACTTACATTATTAGCACAGGCAGCCTTCACAATGACACCGATATTCTTTTTTTTAAATTGTATATATATTTTTTTACATATACATGTGTTTATTAGGTGATATTCTCCTTTTTTCATTTTTTTTTGAGACAGAGCCTCAAGCTGTCACCCTGGGTAGAGTGCTGTGGCATCACAGCTCACAACGACCTACAACTCTTGGGTTTAAGTAACTCTCTTGCCTCAGCCTCCCAAGTAGCTGGGACTACAGGCGCCCACCATGCCTGGCAATTTTTTTTTTTTTTTTTGGTTGCAGTTGTCATTGTTGTTTGGCAGGCCCAGGCTGGATACAAACCTGCCAGCTCTGGTGTATGTGGCTGGTGCTTAAGCCACTTGAGCCACAGATGCCAAGCCCTTTTTTCATTTTTTTTGAGACAGAGTCTCACTGTCACCTGGGCTAGAGTGTGGTGGCCTCAGCCTAGCTCACAGCAACCTCAAACTCCTGGGCTCAAGCGATTCTTCTGCCTCAGCCTCCCGAGTAGCTGGAACTACAGGTGGTTCCTGCCACAACGCCCAGCCAGTTTTTAGTAGAGCTGGGGTCTGCACAAGGTCTGCTAATTGCTCAGGCTGATCTGAACTCCTGAGCTCAAGCTGTCCTCCTGCCTCAGCCTCCCAGAGTGCTAGGATTACAGGAAGGAGCCACCCAGGCCTAGCTAATATTCTCCTTTTGAAGAGTTTTTAACACAACCTGCCCCAGAGCACACATCTAAGGAGTCTGTCTGCGTCCAGAGCTTGTATTTTTCCAAGATACCTCATTGCTTGCCTCTACGGTGACATCACAAGCCAGTATTGTCACATTCCGCTGCCCCTCAGTGTGTGAGCTGCACAGAGACAGAGGCAGAGCAATGTCACTTTCTCCGGTGCCCCTTAAGCGGCCTCCAAGCCTCCACACAGAGGATGCAGCTCACTCGTCCTGGCTTCAGCATCTGGCAGTTAGGGAAACGAAGCTGAGGAAAGGAAACCCATCTTATCTGCAACCGGAGTTCTGAAAACTGACCACGCCCCTCTTGGCCACTTCAATGCCTGAGGGGATAGGAAGCTTCCTTCTCTGGTAGACCCAACAGCACACAAAATACTCTTTGAGTTATAAAGAACAGCCACATCCATGAATTTGGGGGGATGCTCACATCACAGAATTAAAGTAGAAAAGACATCCAGTGCAGTGTTCTTTCCCTTCCAGAATTAAAACTCACCTGAATCTTTTTTTCTGTAGGATTTACTGCTCTACTTCCTCCATCTAACATCTTAGATAATAATTAGCTCACCTGATCAATGAAATCCATGCCAGTAAAGGCAAAGTAGAAGACTTTCTGCCCACCTCCACCCACCCTGGTGGGGATTTCAGGCCCAGATGGAGGAAAGGGGAGACATAGCAACCCACCTAGGAGGAGTACGTGAGCTGGGGTGCTTCCCTAAGCTTTTAATATCAACCACTTGGGAGCCTTTCAAAGCCACCCACTCCTCCCAAGGCAAACCCCAGTGGGCCGGAACATCTAATGACAGGATCAGATCACACAGCCATTTAGCATTTCTTTGAATTTTATTGAAAATTGACATGGACATTAGAAAGGCATCAAGCTAAAGGGTGCTGGTTCTGGGATGTTTCTCCTGGAGAATGAAAGCCCCAGAAGGAAGTGACTGGTCACACCTTTGAGCAAAAAGAACAAAGGAGAAGAAAGGAAGAACAAACACAGATTCTGGAAAACATGCAGAGAGGCTCTCTCAAGAGACACTGGACAGCAGAACGGTGGTGGGGATATATGGTAATGAGCCACTCACATGGTATTTTGATGCAAGTTAAACCAATGAACTCGAGGCAGATTTATTAACATCAAAGCTTTCCCTCCAGATCCCAGGATGAGCAGAAACCTCTCGAAAGCCCAACTGGCCTTGGAAAGTTTAATGGCATAATTTTGCTCACTAAGCTTAACCCCCATCTTTTCTCTCCCTTCTCCATCTGAGGGTTAGTGGATACATTTTTCCCCTTTGCTGGGGTCAGCAGAAGGTCTGTGAATGCTGAAGAAAATACAATGTTGCTTGACTTTCTCTTCCATGTTCAAAAATGTTTAATCGTGGCTGTACACAGTCAACCCACTGAACCATGAGAATTGTTTAAAAAGAAAAACACAGAACTCAAACAGAAATTTGTGAATAGAACTTCCACACCCAGCTGGAGCCTCCTGCCCCAGTCACTTACACTTGGGTGAGTAATCCTGTAGTTGTCTCTCTGAGGTTATATTTGGTCCACTTTGCAGCTCTGATGGTTCTTTTCCTGCCTTGTTAGTTTAGGACAAGACATTTCCATTTAAAATACCATGTAAGTCAGAAGAGAGCTTCTTGCCTGGACACGGGTACACATGAACACTCGTTGAGTGGAGTGTGTGTGTGCGTATGTGTGTGTGTGTGTACGCAGTTTGAGGGGAGAGGAAACTGGATGATTTCTGGTTTGAGACAATATGGAACCCTAACTCTTCTATAATGGCAGTCTTCTCCTTTAGACTTAGTGCAGCTGCTGAAGACAAGATTAAAAAAAGCTGGAGAGGGAGAGAGAAAGAGAAAGAAAACATGAAATTAGCCAAAGAAAAAGGACATTCAAAGTAAGACAGGGGAGGGGAGTGGCCAGTGTTGAGGTAGCACAGATTATACTTTGAGAAGACAGGTTAGAAATGAGGGTCTCTGGTAGGCCATCACCACGGGGAAATCTGCCGAAAAAGGTTTTAAGAACACCACACACCGGTTTAAAGCTTCTTGTTTTAATTAAAAACAAGCACATATTAACAGCCACATGTGAATGCCAAATGATTAAAATAAAAAACATAAACAAAAAGAAGATCAATTTGCACTGCAGCTAGGGAAAGCAAAGCTCTTGGCTTAAGGGAAATGAGGGGTGCGTGCATGTGTGTGTTTCAGAAAAGCCATTCCAGTCTGGGAAAATAAAAGCATAGACCATTTCTAATGACTGGTTTGGTTTCACCAGAAGTAAACAGAGCACTTAGGGTATGTTTTAAAAATAATAACAATTGTATCAATTTAAAAGCCTTTTCATTGAAAAAGGGAAAACCTTTCTATCTACAGTGAGAAAAGCTACCCAGTGAAATAAGCATTTCACTTCCTTTAATAGGCTTGAGCATCATTTTAAAGGTCTTATCCTCACAGATTAGGTTTTTGCATACCACGCTTCTCTGATGAGAGCTTCTTGATGAGAGAATCACCTACAGCACTTGTTAAACAGATCCGTGCCTGGACCCCATGCAGGTGCCCTGTTACTCCCTACAGAGCTAACCCAGAACCTTTGCCTTGTCCCACCCTCACGCGCTCTATCCTCAGATATTTTTCTCCAGGGAATAACCTGAAAAGTTTCCTGATTATTCAGTTTTTCAGAACATCAAAAGACCTTGTCTCCAGGAATGTATAAACATATTGAATCCCTCTGGGAAATGGATTGGGAGTCGGGCGGCGCGGAATTTAGCCTGGCTTCTGCCAGGAAGCAGCAGTGGGACAAGGTCAAGTCTCTTTACCTCTCTGGGCTTCAGTTTCCTCTTATGTAATAAGCGGGTTACATCTGTCTTACTGACCAAAATGTCCCCCTTTTATAAAATCCCTGTTTCACTTCTGACAGTTTCTCAAAGGCTGTGTGGCTTTAGTACTTTGGAAATAGTCACAGCTCCTCAAGCCTCAGGTCGTTAATCTGTAAACAAATGCAAATGAGGGGGCCTCCGGTTTGTAATGCAAATAATTACCCAGGGAGACAGTCATTACCGGTTGGTTAAGTGTGAGCTTCTGAGAAAGCAGCTCTGAAGTTGAAAAGAGAAACATCAAAGCTACAAGTAAGTAGCCTTTCTCTAGAACAGCCCTGACTCAGCTTCCCTCTAAACTGCTGGCTGAGTATCTCAGTGGGGGGTGGTTTGTTTGTTTGTTACCATTTTAGAGTTTTTTTGGGGGGGGATTGTTTTTAGTTCCAAGCACAAGGTCTTTAAAATGCTCCACTGTGACCAGGATTTTCCTAAGAAACTAGATTTCTGCTTTGGCAGCGTCGTCTTCATACTGGCCTCTCTACCCGCTTAACTAATCAGTGAATCACCAAACCATAGGCATCAAAACTGCACTCTGGCTTTGCCAACATGAGAAAGTGCGTGCTTATGTTTGCTTTTCATTTATTCTACTTTTTGCTTTTTTTTTTTTTTTTGGCTTCCTACTATTATCTATTACTGAACAAAGAAACCCCTTCCCTTTCACAGCGCTTCAAAAAAGACTAGGAAATTAGCCTCGTTTGACTGTGTGCTTTGAAGGAAATGATGAAAAAAAAACTCAGAAAAAGAAAAGAAAAGAAAGAAGATGGTCATGGTCAGTGCCCAGTGGGACTGCAAGGCGGGAGAAAGTAGCAGAACTCAAAAAGAAGAAGTGGGACTTGAAGTACATGGCAAGGGGGAGGGGGGCTAGCTGCCTGGCACCCCAAAGGAAAGCTGTCAGTTATAATAGGAACCTTAGCTTAAAAGGCTAAATGGAGTCCAGTCCAGCTGTAGCAGGGAATACTATTCAGTACACAGCCATGGATTACTGCAAAGGAAGGGCAGAGAGACTGCATGTTAGCCACAGATCATTGTCAGGTCACCTCCAGCTCTCACTTTGCCACTGGCCAAACACCAAAGGCCACACTGTGCCTCAGGGCCCTGACAACTGAGGACTCTCTACTTCAAAGGGGTTCCCAAAGCCACTATCTGATGGACCTATTATAAAAATGAGGGCTGGAATATTTTTTAAGTATCAACTCCTTAGACTGGAAATAAAATTAAGGACCTTGCAAAGCTGAATACGTCTTTCCTTCTCTCTAGCTGATAGCCACATCTGTTCTTATTGGAAGATGTGTGCAAAATGCACATTACAAATCACCATCACATTCACCAGGTAGACTCATCAGAGTTAACTCCCAAACACAGGACTCTCTGACAGCTGAGTCTGCCAGTTTCTGAAGTGGGATTATTATTCCTGCTACTGGCCCCATCTGATTGGGATAGTATAGAACCCCCCCCCCCCCGGGGAATTACCCTGAACATGCTGAAACACCTTAGAAGAATTCTGCAAGTCCATCATTCAAGACTCTAGGCTGATAATATTCAGGTTTATTCTCTCTTTTGCATCTATGAGGTACTCCAGGGCTAAAAGAAAGGGGACATTTATGCTGCTTTCTCCAGCATTTGTGTTTTATGTAAATAAACTTGTCATAGATTTGCAGCACAGCTTGAGTTCAGTGAATGAAGACTGGAAAGGGCTAGGCTAAAAGGCCAGAAGGAAAAGGGACGAAAGGATCTCCTCTTGGAATTCTGAGACGGCTGTGGCTCCTGAGAGCAGAGGTAGAGTGGGTCCGGGGAGACCAGACTGGTCCTTACCCAGCCATGGTGGATGCAAATACCTCAGAGAAACATGCAGCAATCAGAGTTTCGAACAGGGAAGCTGGAGGTGAAGAGCAGCGGATGTGCCCCTGAACATGTTACAGTCTGGCAAAGATGGGGGTGAGGTGGGAGGGATGGCTGGGGTGCTGGGTGCAGCATGCATCTCCAAGCCATGTCACTGCTGGCTTCTTGATCAGAAGCCAAACATCATCCTCAGGCACTCAGGCTTGTATAAACCTTGGCAGGAAGAGAGGAGAGGGCATAGATTCTATGTTACCCCCATGTGTTAAGGGGGAAATTAAAGAAAAGGAGGCCCAGCTCGGTTGCGCAGGAAAAGGGCGGCTACAGGAAGCCCAAACTGAAAATGAAAAGAGAAGTTGGGTTAATGAATGGATGGATTAAAGTACCCCCAAAAAGGTCAGAAGAAAATTATTTAAGTCATGATGACAAATGGATGACAAATGAGAATATAGCTGTTAGATGGTCTTAAGGTCTTACTGCACTGGCTTGTGGGAACACGCTTTCTCTCTCATACACCCACACACACGCAAATGGTGGCAGTAGTGGCATTAGCTAGCAAAATAATGATCATCAACCCCCAACATACTTTTTATCTCTTAATTAGGAAGTCCCAATTAACGTCCCCTCCACACACGACCACCTAGATACCTTGCACAGGAACCTCTCAGCCACTGCATCTCCTGTCCCAAGGGAAAGCAGAGGAGGCTGAAGTCTCTACTCTGGTGGCCTTCAGAACTGTCCTGGTCACTAACACTCTGGGAGGTCAAGGCAGGTGGATTACCTGAGCTCACAGGTTTCAGACTAGCCTGAGCCAGATTGAGACTTAGTCTCTAAAAATAGCTGGGCATTGTGGTGGGCACCTGTAGTCCCAGCTACCTGGGAGGCTGAAGCAAGAGAGTTGCTTGAGCCCAAGAGTTTGAGGTGGCTGTGAGCTATGATGCCACAGCACTCTACTGGGGGTGACAAAGTGAGATTCTGTCTCAAAAAAAAGAACTGTCCTGGTCAGCTAACTAACTGGTACCCCAGGGCAAGACCTGTTTGCAGAGCATCTAGGGATGGTTGCTGGGCTCTATTCTAGAGTCTAGACCACAGTTACCCGAAAACCTGAACTACAGAAACCCATTATTGATTTGTGTTCACATAGTACTTTGACATTTTTGCTCACATAAACCCTCATCTCTGTGACTAAATAAGGCAATTAGTATTATCTCCATTTGACATGTTAGGAGACTGAGAAACAAGTCAACAGACTTTCCCATGGTCACGGAGTCAAGCTGGGATCAGAGCTGGTGAATTAAGGCTCTTCCTATCATACCACACTGTCCCTGAGAATAACTGGCTGTGCATCTGAGCCCCTGTTTATTGCCTGAAGAATACATTTATCTCATTAAACAAAGACTATTAGATATTTGGGGGAGATACTTAGAAATATATGCATATTATGTTTTACAGTAAACTCCTCAAAGTGAATACACCCCCACACACACATACGTGCACACCCTTTACACACACTCAGATGACTGGCAATTTGTACCAGGAATTAGGAGATGTGCATTATTATTTTTTGTTTTTGAGACAGAACTATGTCACCCGGGCTAGAGTGCCATGGCCTCAGCCTAGCTCATAGGGACCTCAAACTTCTGGGTTTAAGTGATCCTCCTGCCTCAGCCTCCTAAGTAGCTGGGACTTATAGGCAGTTACTGCCTATAAGGTAGCCACAACGCCCGCCTACTTTTTCTATTTTTAGTAGAGATGGGGTCTTATTTTGCTCAGGCTGGTCTCGAACTCCTGAGCTCAACCAATCCACCTGCCTCAGCCTCTCAAAGTCCTAGGATTACCGGTGTGAGCCACCGCAATCACTGTGGGCCAGTGTGAGCTGGTCATGGAGTTTTGTGTTCTTGTTCCAGTTCTGCCACTAACTCACTGTGTGGTCCTTGGTAAGTCCCTCAAATTCCCTGATTCCCTCTTTGCTCATCTTGTAAACTGATAATTATTCCTTCCTTCTTTACCTCACGGAACTGTTCTAAGGATAAAATGAGATACCATATGAAAAACCACTTTGAAAAGTAACAAATGCTAAACGAATGCTCACCTCTTACTTTCTTAACTTTGTCTAATTCTTA